TGATATTTTTTGATTTGTTTGCAATTCCATGCAGATTATCACAGAGAATGTGCTGAATTGTGACCATGAACAAAAAGTGCCGAAAGGCATCCATGGGAATGATGTCACTCTGCTTTATGATGAACGAGAACGTGAATGTTCTCCAGGAGGAGCTCACGTTGAGCCATGTTTCTGTGCTCACTATCAGTTCAAAGCAAGAAGAATTCTCGTATCATGGGAACGAGATGAAAGCAAATCTGTGACTGCGTGACGATGGATAAAGTATCGAGTGAATGCTTGAAATGGATCACAATTTACCTTCTTTGACCATTCCGACGGCAATACACTTTTGAAACCTACAGTACTGACATCGACTTCGAAAACGTTTATCAATTGTGCAATTTTTATTGCCGGTGCACACGTACTGCGCCTTCTTTTGTACAGTACGCTGAAACTAGTGTAATGAGGCCGAGTTATATTAATTCGTGTTCACTGAATCGCTGCTGAGAGAACAATATTAGGAACATAATGATCACACCACAATATCATCGTTGCTGTGATAATTTAATTCCTCCACCTTTATGGTATCAGTACAGCAGCCATATACTACGATAAATACAGTGAATGATTGATTTAGCTAGTATGTTTTAATTCGGCATATCCGGAACAATTGAGTGGTCATACGGATTCTCTAGAAACTTGTGCGGCGAAAATGGATTTTCAATGAGATATCATTGCTCAAGAACATTCTCAAGACCACTACGAATTAGAATGTTCTACGAATTTCACATTCAGAAGTTGATAAATCTTCCAACTGATCTATCACGATCATACAATTTCGAAATGTTCTCCAGAAGGAGCTCGTTGAGTCACGTTTCCGTGCTCACGATCAGTTAAAGCAGGAAGAATTCTCGTAGCATAACGAGCAAAACTCAATCAATGAATCGTTACCTTGAAAAAGCCTTTACAACCTTCACAAGTCCTTGCACCGTAGTGTTGACAAACAGCTCTATCTGAACAAACCGCGCACAATTTATCCTCTCCGAAAGGATCCGACGACGCTGTCGTTGACTGCAGTCCAGATGGACCACTGGTAATCCGATCATTAAACATGCTGGAAATGTTTTCTTTCCNCTCGTCTTTATGGCTTCAGAATTCGGTGATTTTAGACGATAGTGCACCGAACGACGGTGCTGTTAATGCAG